ACAACCTCTTTTTTTTTTTCTTTTTTTTTTTCACTCTTCTTCGAGGAGCTATGAGAGGTCAGGGGCACTGGACCCCTTTTTCCAGGAGCCGAAACTGAGCAATGGCCTCAGCATTTTTGTCGTTGTCCAGTCTCCGGGTTGTGTTGTGGGGAATTCCCGGCGCCAAGTTCCATGAGCAATAAATACTTCAGCTTCTCAAAAAAAAAAAAAAAAAAAAAAAGAGGTAGACTGCGGGGACCCCGGCTCCAACCAAGTCCACTCATGCTTACAAGGGACGCTGGGCTAGAATCCACTAGATTGCCAGCATGTGCTGGTCCCCACAAATAGATTGGAGCTCTGTTCAATTGGAAAAAAAAAGAAACAAAAACGGAGAGAACGTTGCGGAAGAGCGCCTTGATCCACTGCACAACATTCTACATGTATATAGAGCTGTTAATGATCCCAATACATTCAAAGCGATCGATCAGTCAGAGTGTACCTAGTCAAATCACTGTCCAGATACATGTCGAGGGTGTTGGAGTAATGGAGCGGGGCCCAAAGGCGCGTAGAGCTCCTTTTCCCAGGTTTAACTTCCGGATTTCCGTCAAACACCTGCTAATCGACGAAACGCGTTTTTTGGACAATGCAAACACGGACTTCAATATAACCCCCGCCCTCCCCCTCCTCCNCCCCGCCACTCTCCCCCTCCGCATAACCCTCGCCCCCAGCCTCACCTCCCTTCCGGGGCCCATTACCGTCTTCCCCCCCCGCTCACCCTGGTCCTGACTGTATCGGACCGGAGATAGCCTGTATAAATTCAGAATGCGGGTGTCGCCAAGAAAATAAAAATTTGACGAGGGGTGCGTCGTGTTCGGGGGAGGACGGTTGTACGCTATCCCAATAGAAGTAACTGTTTCCTTTTGCCCGACTGGCTACGAGAGACGAAAAGGAAAAGTAAAGAGTAAAGGGAGAGCTGCGGACACGCGATCTCAGACCATACTCGGACTAACACTTTCCTAATCGTATCTGACTGCAATTTCGGCCAGATCTGGATGAATCGAACTGCAATCATGTCCAGAGCGTGGTTAAAAAAGTTCTAGTGTGAGTGTGCCCTCATCCATACGTGCATTACCACCATGCACACGCAGAGCGTGTCTCCTTTCCTACGGAGGAGGCAGAGAGGGGAAGATCCTCGATTCCCCCCTTTCCCCTTCTCTCTCCTCCATCCTTGCCCTCAGTACCGCCACGAGATCTGGTTTGCAACTACTTTCCATCACTTTGGAAATGCTCTCACCCTGACATGACCGATCAGCCTCGAGAGCTCCCCCCAAGATACCCTACTCACCTATCCCCCACGTCCTCCGAGGCTTCCACCTCTCTCTCTCTCTCTCTCTCTCTCTCTCTCTCTCTCTCTCTCTCTCTCTCTCTCTCTCTCACACACACACACACACACACACAGAGTCTCTCTCTCTCTCTCTCTCTCTCTCTCTCTCTCTCTGTGTGTGTGTGTGTGTGTGTGTGTGTGTGAGAGAGAGAGAGAGTGTGAGTGTGTGTGTGTGTGTGTGTGTGTGTGAGAGAGAGAGAGAGAGAGAGAGTCTGTGTGTGTGTGTGTGTGGGCGTCATCCACTGCCTCGATCGATAGTGATTCTCCCCTGTTCGTTGTCCTTTTCGCGAGAAACACCCCTCAACTGCCCCAGATCCTGTCCCGCAGATGGACGACCCCGATCCCGGTTCCTGCCCGTCTGTCTCAGCCACACCAGCTGCTGCTGGTGCAATGATGATCGACGATAGCCATCGACGGTCGGTGACCAAGGCAAACGCGCACTCTCAGTTTGTCCTCCTCACCACAGACCACTGCGACCAGCCAATCAACTAGTGCGTTATCTGGCTTGCTTACATTGCTCGACCCCCCAAATGCTCCCCCGTCTTCTTCTCTAGGGAGGGGCTGGTCGGTAGCCTGGTCCATCATAACACCCCCCCCGCGTTTTCTCCTTCTTCACCCTATCCTTCTTCCCCCGAATACAACGTACCGTCATTATAGTTGTATTTAGACTTCAATACCCCAAATACAGCTATAATGACCCTACGTTGTATTGGGGGGAAGAAGGAGGTAGAACAGATGGTTATTTTATAGACTACCCTCTTTCCCCCCGAATACAACGTACGGCCATTATAGATGTATTTGGCGCAACTCCCTGTCTAGATACCGATAAGACCCAGAATTCTAGTCGGGTGGGGACGGTAAATCTCCAAGCCTTGGTGACTTGGTCTGTTCTCCATCTTAGCGAATGAATCTTCCTCGAGCACCMCCCCCTCTAGTAGAGGTCGCGGGTTATGATATTTAATCAAAAAAAAAAAAAAAAAACTTCACGGAGCGCGATCAGACAGCTTGGCAGCAGCCCCTGGTTCGATCCAGCGTGGCATGGCCGATTACTGTCTCTCTCGCTTTTTTTTTTTTT